CTCTCAACCTTCCTTCTGCAGGTTAAACAGACCCTGCTCTTTAAGACACTCCTCACAGGGCACGGTTTCCAGACTTTTGATCATTTTGGTTGCCCTCTTTTGTACATGTTCCAACTTGTCAATATCTTTCTTGAATTGTAATACCCTGAACTGGACACAGTATTTCTGAATGACAATAGGTCAATATAAACTTTCTTTGAGTAAAGAATTGGTTAGTAATGTTTCAGAATTCAGTATGACCAATTCTTCTCCAGAAATGAAGAATACATTTTAACTGAACAGGTTGCACTCTGGCACCACAAGAGGAAAAAACCTTAAGAAATGGGGCTACAATTGGAGTCCATGACATGTGAGTGCGGAGAAAAGCAAACCACAGAACACATACTACAATGCAGTCTGAGCCCTGCCACATGCATAATGAAGGACCTTCTATAACAACACCAGAGGCACTCCAAGTGGCCAGTTTCTGGTCAAAGGACATGTAGCATAATGCCAAGGGTTTTTTTTTTACTTTTGTGTTTTTAAATGCATTTTAACTGTACCCTTAATTTACTTCTGACACAATAAATAAATTTTTCCAGTTTAATAGAACAGCTGTGGTAGACATGATAAGGCTTACAATTTGCATTCAGAACTGTTATAAGCATGCATTTGGCTGTTTCTTGACCAAGTCAAATAGCAAGTGTAATTGGTCATTTAGTTCGTAACCTCCTGAAAAAGCAACAATGTGCAAAATGGATGCTTTCAGGCATGTTAAATGCTGACACCAGGCTAACACATCCAGTAAGCATACCATAAGGTGTGCAGATATAGCCCAACTTCCTTGAATTCAGTTAGTGTCAACTAAAATTACCAGGTATTGGTGTTATCCTTTCTCACCACCATTGTCATGACAACCACCATCAATTATTTTGATACCTTGCAATGCTAACATTTGAACTCTCCTAAAATATGGTTCAGTAACTTGAGATAATTATACCATGCTAATGATGGTTATTGGAAAACCTCGAGCAATTTTACTCCTTCCCATACTGCTAGGAAGCAACATGCAAATTATCCCATGTTTATTTTCATGAAAATTCTCCCAAGTCTCTTATATTTCTTTGGCATCATAGAGACCAATAGATCTACAAATGCTTCCACACTTTGGGAGTCATGTCAGTACTTGCCTTAACTCATTTAGGACATTGTTTCCTACCTAATTTTGTTTCCATGCACATTTTATAGCCACTTAAAACATTTATCACTTTAACTTTTGGCCAGATTGAAAATAAAATGTGCAATCAAATATCCCATTAACCCAAAAAAGGCTCAAGCTGCTTTACGTACTTACTTAGAAGTAAGTTTCATTGATTTAAATAACTCTTACTACAGTGTAGATATGTATAGAATTTCCCATTTAGACATTTATGGAGATAAGTCACATGGTTAATATCATTTGTAGGTAATGGGGCTCAGAAGCACTTTGAGATAAAGTATGGGAAGGAGTGGGTAGTATTTCAGAGAGGAAAAAGTAAGACTCAAGCAAGAGATGCCAGTTTGTAAATGTTTGAATCCATATTGACTTGTTCTATGAAGGTTTTTCTATGTTGAATAATATTGCATGTAGTGGTTGTCCAGATACTCTGAAATTTATGGTTTCATACTTGTTTTCCACAAAAACATTTTTCAGTTGATCTGATATTCTGCTAATTGCTTTTATTCTGTCTGTCTTTAAACAGTCACATGATTGCCATCATGTGATATATTAACTCCTAGTTTACACACAATTCTCTCCAATCTCAATTCATCACCATCATATTCATCATCATCATATTCATCATCATCATCATCATCATCATCTTTGGCACTATCTCTGTAACTAATTAGTTCAAAAGTAATGTCCTGATCTCTATTTAATAGTGATGTAAAGAATAAGTAATTTATATTTGGCTTTCCTAGATCACACAAAAGAAATAGCATAAGCTAAAATAAAAATGTAAGATCAGAGTGCCTCATATCTTCTTGTAACAACTATGGTTTGAGCTTGAATACAACCTTTTCCCAAAAAAAAAGATGGGGTATTAAAAAAAACTGTCAAATGTTCCATTTCATCAAGGAAAGGATTGTATCCATATTTTTCAGGAGCTAAAAAACATTTTCTTCCTTCTGTATCAAAGGAAAATAGTGACATGATTTTTGTTGAAATTGGCTAGAGATTCCTTAGCAGCCAAATAAAAAGAATCTGCCAGTTGACCAGCCCTGGCTTGAAGAACCCAGAATATACTTCCTGGTTTCATATTTAATTAGAAGGGATGCAAAATAAGCTGGTAGTCATTTTCTGAAATTGCTTGGATAATAACTTGGCAGCAAGACATAGCTTAACTAATATTCTGCGTTTGCATGTGTACTCAGATATATAACACCAAAAAACAAGATGACAAAGCAAACCATGACTACAGTACAACTCCCAGAACCATAATTTGGTGATTGCTTTAATTACAATTATGAGACAGAAATGAAGCAGAAATTAAAATAAAATAGATTGTACCCATACTCTTATTGAAAGCATAATGTGGCATAGAACTCCAATCAACCAGAAAATTCTAATTTAGAAATACACAAAAGAGTCCTTTTAAATGCATTCCTCTTCTGGACACATATTTAAATAAAACCATTTAGACTTTCCATGTTTCTCCACACAAGTGCATTGTATATTGCTCTAAAATAGCCACATGGGTCATATTGATCATTATGGTTTAAATGAAATCCTAACTTTGTATAACAAATGCAAGTGTAAATTCTTCTCAGAGTTGGAGAGCATGACCACTCCCCATGCTAGCTGCAGTGTTTTTTTATAATTGTAGTTCATAAAAATAACCTTTTAAAGCTCTGCTTAGTTTATTATGGCTTTGAAACTGCAGAGTTTCCAGCAATGAAGGCGTCATTTGATTTCAGTTATAGATTGATGCTGCAAACCTGTGCATGTTTCTCGTAATAATTTCTGACCATAAAGCAAAGCTATAACAATACACTCTCAGTTAACCAGGACTCAAGCAACCACAACTTTCAACCAACCAGCAAAATAATCAAAGAACTAATACTGCATTCACAAAGCTGTTTTTATACTGCATTCAAACTGTGCTACATTAAGTTAGATTTGCTTTTAATTACTATAGAGTCTCACTTATCCAACATAAAGTGGCCGGCAGAATGTTGGATAAGCGAAAATGTTGGATAATAAGAAGGGATTAAGGAAAGACCTATTAAATGTCAATTATATTATGATTCTACAAATTATGCACCAAAACATCATGTTTTACAAGAAATTGACAGAAAAAGCAGTTCACTACACAGTAATGTTATGTAATTATTACAGTATTTACGATTTTGGCATCAAAACAGATAAGGATTCTTTCTTTCTTCCACCCTGGACATTATTCCGGGCAGGAGGCAGAGTATGTTGGATAATACAGAACACTGGATGAGCAAAGGTTGAATAAGCGAGACTCTACTATACTGTATTTCAGTGTTAATATTAAGTCAATACAGCATTTATTTCTTCATGTAAAATAAACAGCTAACTAAAAGCTGTATGTCAAAAAGTAGCACATACATAGCTTCTTCATTCTTTTCTAGTCATACATCTCTATTGCCTTCATCAAGTGTCTTTGTTTAATTTTCCTATTAAACAAGGTGAAACCAAAAAAAAGATTTACTTCAGTGTTTGCAAATAGCTGTGGCAATCATGTATATTTACTTTTCTTACATTCTGTAGCTCAGAAAGTATGATTTACTTGTTAATATCTCTGCAGTAAAATAATGACTTGTGAAGACATGATGTATGAATATTTTGCTGATAGGAGATTCCACAGTATTGAACTATAACTGAACAGTGGCTATTGATACCTTCTACGATTTGCTTCCAAGGTTCCCAATGGATTGCAATATCTGTAAATACTTAAGTCCCGTCATATATTATGGCATAGTAAAATTGTGTACCTTATGTAAAATGGCAAAAATTAAGGTTTGCTTTAAAAAAAAAGCATAGATGATTGCATCCATGAAAGCAGAATGCTAGGGGACAACTGTATTTGGTAGGGCTGTGCAACCACGGAAAAATTTGTTTCTAAACTCGATTCGTTTTTAGGGGCTTTTTGCATTTCGTTATTTAAAAGAATTCTGAAATTTTTCTTTAAAAAAGTTCGATATTTACGAATTTCGAAACATTAACGAATCAATTCGTTAATGGCGGACGCGATTGCGCAATACGCTAAAAAACCCTCCAAATGGGACAGGGGGAACTTCTGAAGCTTCCCTCTCCCTCTGTTGTTGACTGTTAGTGTGATAATTTTTTTATCACTGATAAAACAACAACAACTATAAAACTTGCACCAGACATACGGAAATAATAATGAAATAATAACGAAACAATTTCGAAACAATTACGAAACCATTATGAAACAATTATGAAATAAATTTTAAAAATTCTGAAAATGCTCCTGAATGGTTCAATATCGGATCGTAAACCACTTTAAATACGAATTATTAACGAATTACGAAATTAACAAATGAAACCGCACAGCCGTAGTATTTGGATCCACAAACCAGTTTGCTTTATTCCTCCTCGTGAAGTAGCCAATGTTACAGAGATCTTTAGCCTCCACCTGAAACTTGTGATGTGGCTTGCTTGTTTGATTGAATAGCCTAACTTGGAAACAATGTATTATAAATGTTTTTAGGCCTGCACTCTTTTGTCTGTGAATCAGCTTTCTTGTTCTTTCTTTACAGCAAGTTATTGGGGAGATTCATAGATCAATTTCTAAGGACTGTGGGGAAAATGATTTTGTTTGGCACCTTCCAATCTTATGATTCTGTTATATATAAGAAGGTGCTTGCAATGGACAAGTTTCCATTGAAGTAAAAAAAAAACAACCCTTTGATCTTCTCTGTATATAATATTTTTCTAGCTACAGATCATTTTAAAGATCAGAATGTTTTCTTTCCTTCTTCTTTTTAAGGAAGCTTGCAAGTCCGATACAGATTGAGTAAGGACCGATCCCTTATTTTCACAATTGATTCTGGAAATTTTGCTAACCGGGAACTACACCATGTGAAGATAAATAGAGATGGGAGAGAGTTAACTATTCAGGTATCATTTAACCACCATGCTCAACTACCCATAATGTCTTCCTTTCCTCCATTTTTTCCTTTCTTGTTTATTGTTGTTGAAGAAAATCTAAATTTCCTCATGTAGATGACTGGGCTAGGCATTTTAGGCTGGATCTACACTGCCCTATATTCTTGGATCTTATCCTAGATTATCTGCTTTGAACTGGATTATATGAGGCCCCATCTACACTGTCATATAAAATCCAGATTATTTTAAGATGGATTATATGGCAGTGTAGACTCAGATAAATCAGTTCAAAGCAGATAATGTGGATCCACATTATCTATTTTGATCTGGATTATATGAGCCTACACTGCCAGAGAATCCAGCTCAAAGCAGATAATCTGGATTTTGTATGACAGCGTAGAAGTGGCCTCAGATAATAAAGTTGGTCTTTCCTTTTACAACATGAGGTAGTCATGCTACCATAGTTGCAAGCCATGTGGAAGGGAGACCTCCTTCCTTCATCTCCTAATGGCAGCAACTGGTTTGAAAGTGAGAGGCAGTGGGACTTTGCCTCTCCATTAGAATACAAAAAGTGGCAAGAAGTTACAAGAGCAATATTATTTTTAAAAAAGACTGGATGTTATATGTTTCAGCATCTAAGGCCCCTTCTACACTTCCCTATATCTCAGGATCTGATCCCAGATTATTTGCATATCCCAGATTATCTGACAGTGTAGATTTATATAACCCAGTTCAAAGCAGATAATCTGGGATAAGATCCTTGGATATAGGGCTGTGTAGAAGGGGCCCTAAGATAGTGTCCACAGAGGTATAAACATCAGTGTGACTGCCAGAGAGCAACTTCTCCCCAGATCCCTATGGATCAAGCCCTTCATGCAGATCATCCAAATTCTTCCATTTCTCTTTGCAGTCCCTCTCAAAATGGCAATAGGAAAACACAACAGCAGAAGAAAATGAAAACATTTAGCTCCAGTGAAGCATTCTGGGGTGTTTATGAGAGTGGGGATTGTTTGTGTGTGCTTTCCACACATTTGGCAGGCTTTTTGTTTTGTTTTAGTGCCAAATTGTCCAAATGCTTACACTATATATATGGTAATTGAAGGATTTGGGCACTTGGAGAGGCATGGGTATTCAGGAACCATATGCAACCCTGAATCCTAGCCCTGGAATAGAGCAATGAAAATAATCTGGAAAACCCTGTAACTTTCAATCCCATCTACTCCTTCACCAATCTAGAAAAAATAGAAAAATTTATAACAACAGAATTCTCTGGCTTCTTTCTAACAAAGAAGAGGCAGGTTTAGAGGTGTGTGGTTTGACATATGTAACTAAAGCAGAAAGAAGCCAAAGGGACTATTCAGCTTGCTCTTGCTCAGGTTAGTATCCTGGAAGATCAATGGGAAGAGGAGCAACAGGAGTGCATGACATGATTACAGATACAGGGAGAATGTGAAGAAAGAACAAAAAAAAGAACCCAGACAGATATAAAGTAAAGAATTTTTTTCATTGATACCAGTACCATTATTCAGTTCAAGCAGAATAGCTGTATTGCAATTTGGCTGGAATGTGAGAAAGGTAAGAATAATGTATTTCTTGGTTAACTGAAGGAAAACATAAGGTATAGGTAGGATAATAAGAATTAGTTCGTGTTGAAATCTGTCATCCTATTTTTTGGAAACTTTTTTACTTTTACAAAGATGGATTGTTTTCTTACCACATTGTCAAGATAGAAATGGGGGTTTCTTTTAACTGATGTTTTGGAATGTTCCTTATAATAATAAAGTGACCAAGGTTGTTATATGAGTTTTATTTTCTGTTATGCTTCAGTCCATCATTATTTGACTTCAATAGGCAACTTCAACAAGTCTAGGCACATTTCTGTCCCTGAAATTCTCCTGAGGCCTCACGGAATACTAAAAATGCAAAAAACAAACAATACTATCAAGCAAAAGCAAAGCAATACCAGAGGTGTCTGAAAGTCCATTGTGTGTGTGCATTAAATGGTGTGGATGGCAATGGCCTGTTAAAAAGGTGAATGGCCACTCATGAAGGTTTCCAGAAGAGAAAATAAATCTTTTTTTCCATTTTTTAAAAAAGTGGTGGCTTGGCTCCACAAAACAGTTGTGTTATGTAGGATTTCCTACTATTCAGACTTCCTGGAAGCTTTTCACACTTAAGAAATATAGCACTATAATTCCTTTTTAACCACCTCCTGCCTGAGATTTGTACTTTTCTCTAAAACAGCTGAATTTTCTAAATGTTTCTACCTAAACTGCCAATCCCAGGATTTCATGGAAAGTTGTCATGGCAGCTAAAGTGGAATAATAGTGCTACATATGTGTTGTGTGAACGAACTCCATGGGTAAGCTTTCTTGAGATATTTAACCTGGGGATTTAAATGAGATGAGGAAAGCTGAGGTTCACAGAGAAAATATTATCCAGATGGGATGCTGAAATATCCCTTCCCAGCAACCTTGTAAGTAAACTGAACAACATAATCCCTCACCCCAGTTATGAAAATTCCACTGACATTTTGTCTTCCTTTGATTTTGCCTGCTTAAAGTGGTTTCCTTTCCATCGAGCTGAACATGAATAGTTTTAAAATAATGCAGAATAAATAGTCAATATAGCATTAATTGGTGTTGTAAACAAAGGGATTTCTACATGTTTCCTGGAACTAGTCATGTTTCCACAGACAATTCTTATATATGAACATTTTTGGTAACAGAGGATAGAACACAATTTATATGTTGTAACCAATTTGTATTCTATGCATTTTATTAGCTTACGGTTTTATCTGCTTTTAGTTTATGGGATATGTTTTATAACTATGTTAAGCAGCATTTAATCTTGCCAAAGTTGTAAGTCGCCTTGTGTTCCCCTGCTGGGGTGAGAAAGGCGGAGTACTAATGAAGCAAATAAATAAAAATAAATTTCATAGTTATGAGGTCTTTTTATTTATTATTTATTTATTTACTGTCCTTGTATACCGCCGTTTCTCAGCCTATCTGGCGACTCAACGCGGTTTACAACAAAGTATGCAGTGCACAGTATACAATTAAAACCATAAAAACATAATACACAATATTACACGAAATCACAAAATCACAATCCAATACATCTCCTAACTAAAATTGTGGTCCAATTGCATCATCCATATTACCAATCCGTAATCAACACATTCATTGCACCGAGTTAACCAAATGCCTGTTTGAACATCTAAGTTTTTAGTCTTCTTCGAAATACCATCAGCGAGGAGGCTGATCTTACCTCCATGGGAAGGGCGTTCCAGAGCCGAGGGGCCACCACAGAAAAGGCCCTGTCTCTCGTCCCCGCCAGCCGCACCTGTGAAGCAGGCGGGATAGAGAGCAAGGCCTCCCCAGAAGATTTTAGGCTTGTGTTAACAATTTTGAACTTATTTCTCAAAAGTAAAAGGCTTACGACTTTGTTTTTCTAGATATAAATTGTGTACTATTCCAATGATTCCATGTTTTGACATAAAATGTTATGAATAAACTTCGATGAAGATGTGTAAATGAAAAACATGGAATTTTGAAACACATGCTTTTATGGATTAACTGTGAAATATTTAAGGACTGTTCTGTGAAACATACAGTGTGCACTGCAATATAATAGCTAAATAGACTATTTTGGCTATTATGCAGGCATACCAACTTCAGGCAGCTTAAGTATACAGACTTAATTCAGTCAAAAGGCAGTCAATCAGCCATTTCCCAATACTGCTAGTCATATAAATTTTAACTGTGACAGATATCAGCTTGGAAAGAAGTCCCATGAGCTACTGAGCTACTTTTAAAGGCTCAATATTATCAAATATTTAGAAATTTCCATCAGCAGAATCTCACATTGGACTAATCCAATTTTTCTATCTAGTATACAGCTACAATACCAATAACCTTTGGAGTAAAACCTGAAATGCACATTTGAATTGACTTAAATAGTTTTGAGTCTGCTTTCCTATTCTACTGCAATTTGAGAACAAAATTTAAGAGTCAATTCTCTGTCAGCAGAACTGAAATATGCATTAAATGCAATTAATTTATTTTAAAGCTATGGGCATTTTTATTTCTGTTGCTAATCTGTACCATGTGTCAGATGATCTAATAATGCAATTGCTTTTATTGATACCCACCCCTTTCCAGATTGACCAGGTTCTCAAAGTCAAGCACAACTTTTCCTCGGAGGCAGACTTCAGGGCCATTAAGTCGCTAGCCTTGGGGAAAGTCACAGGTAAGCATTGAAATACTCAGAGATTTGTTGGTGATTATGGAATGATCATCCATGCAATGTATTGTCTGGGATATATGTGGACCTGTATCTCTTGATATACACCTTGTTTATGTAAATCAGAAAGTGCAAAATATGGCTTTCCTTGCAGAGTGATGACACACACACTTTATGTGAGCCAAATATTAATGAGAGCATCAATGAATAGCAAAAATGCAGCAGAAGAGGGATGAGGTGAGTGACTGCAGGTGATGGGACAACTTTCAGAAACCTACAACACGGAAATGGCTTTCCACATAAGTCGCTGGGAAATATTAAGGGAATATTTTACTCTATATCCACTAACCCAAGGATTGGGGTCTGACCAGTTTTCAATGCCTCTGTGCCCCATGATTGGAACAATATAGTATGAGAGGTGGTGAGATAGTGCCTTTTCAGTGGTGGTGCCACAAATGTGGACTAGTCTCCCCTTAGTGGTCTGGTTGGTGTCCATATAGGCACGCCAAGCAAAAATTATTATGTCTTAATCAAAATTCTTAAGGCCTGATTGATCTCTTCCAAAATACACATCCTCAGTTCTTAATATTGTTTTAATTTTCAAACCAGTTTTAACCTGCTAAATTGTCTACTTTGAATTGGTTTACATTATTTTTATTTAAAAAAAATGTCTTGACAGCTTATAAATTATTTTACTTTTATGGCACCAAGCAATGCTAGGATACAGTGTAGAATATTGTAATTGACATGAGCATATGCAAATAAATCTATGCAATATAAACTTTTGTTGTTGTGGTTCAAATTTTTGTGCAAAATAAGCCTCAATATAGAAATCATCATTACCATCATCAACATCATCATTAACATTATCAAAACCCTTATAAGTTCATCCTGCAGAAACAAAAAATATATTACATCTTTTATTCATACAACATGAAATAAGTAAAAAATTCACATTCTCACATCTGATGACCAAAGGATCACTAACAGGTGTTGGTCATATCTCCTGAAATTGGCATGCTGCAGTTGGTCTCTCTGGAATGACCTCTCCCCTCATAATATTTTGCAAAATGTCAACAGGCAGAGGTATGACCTTCTGCATTCATCTGTTCTTGCCCTTCTAGCTGCTAGCTAGAATTTCTTCCTGGATTTTAGGTCTCCAAATTATCTGATTTTTGTGGGACACTTTCTTTGCCAGGCCTTTTGTCTGAATATCCAGATATACTTTTCAATCTAGGTACATTTTTTTCTTCCAGCCTTTGTTTATGCACATCTACTTAGTAATAGGTTTCAGTAGGTAAGTGTGTACAAGATTACAGTCCTAGTGTTGTAGTGGGGGTTGAAATATAAGTGAAGAGCCCTCTAGCTAGATTGCTATCCCCAATCCCAGCATCATTTGTTATTGAATATTCTTATTAAGGCCAATTGAGATTGCAATCCAGTAGTATCTGCAGCTCCATACAGATTGTCTATTTATGATTTTACCTGTGTTGTTAGTTATCTCTTTGGCAGAAACTTGGAATATAAATATTTTAAATAAAGAAGTAAATGTTTCCAATTCTCCCTCCCTGCAATAAACCTGCAAACGTGAACATTTATTATGCACCTTAAAACAGTACGTTTTCTTCTTGTATTTCAGCTTATCCATTTCCTTTCCTTGAAAATTTACCAAAGACCTATAGGGAAAAAACAAATCACCAAAGCAGTGGTAAATATAATGATAGAAAAAACAACAGTAATTCGATTAAGAAGTTTTACCTCACAGTGCTCCAACAGAATGTCCAAAGACATTCATATCTGTAAATTGTATATAATGAAATAGTTTGTCTGGCAAGGAGGACCTTTGTGTACATTAGAGATGTAATTCATTTCTAGAGTTGTTGATAAAGGAAGCAATGGGTCATTTTTGCAGAGTTTTTTTTCTCATTTCTCAATCATTGAAAACTGGTCAGTTTTCAAAAATATTCATATTTCGGTACTTATTATGCAAAATATGCATATGAGAGGGTTTTTTGTACAGAAAGCAAAATTTTCTGTTTAGTGAGTAACATTTTCTGAACAGACAAATAATTATTCTGCTATAACATTTCTGTGCAGAAAACTCTGTAATTTGTGATATTTACTAGGCATGGTTAGGTCCAGTCGGAATCTTCGTTATACGGAATAAAGTTGGAAAATAATTCCTTTTTAAAGTGATTTTGAAGTTTTTAAGAAAACCCGGAAGTCCTTTTGCCCTTCCGAAGCTTTTTCGCCATTTTTGTTATGACTCATGAAGTGAGTCGGAAATGATTCAGTGATTCAGCTTTTCCCCCGCTTCTGGTCCCTGGCCTCGGTTCAAGCCAGAGAAACAAGTTATTTATTTATTTACTCCATTTCTACCCTGCCCATATCAGCCAAAAGGTGACTCAGGGCAGCGAACAAGTCAATAAATGGGAGAAGCATGAATTTGCTCTGCTTCTGTCTCAAGCCAGAATAACCAGCCAGTTTTAAACCCATAGAAGCGAGTTATAAACAGGAGAAGCACAAATGTGTTCCCCTTCTGTCTCATGCCAGAAAAGCCAGCCAGTTTTAAACCCATAGAAGTGAGTTATAAACAGGAGAAGCATGAATCTGCAAATTTCCTCTTCTTGCTTTTCCCCGCTCCTGGAGTAAAACAGCTACTTTAAATGTAAAGACCATGCAATGAAACATTAAATAACACTTTCAAACTATTAAGATGCAGAAGTCTCGGAAGGTTCAAAAAGTTATGAACTTTTTTTCAGTGAAAATCCGAATCAACTTTCGAATTGAACCACCGGTGCCCCTATATCCAAAACGAGTTTTGAACCAATTTTTTTAATCAAACAAACCTAATATTTACTGTATAAAATTAACATATTTGTTCAGAAATCACATTTTTGTGAAATAAACATTTTTTTTACACAGAAAGTAATATTTATAACCAGAAATATTATTTTTGGTCCAAAATGCAGAGGAGAGAACCCAAACATTTCTTTTAATTATATGTGAAACAAAATTTGCACAGAATTTTGGACACAATACATCTAACATTGTGAAGATTCCCATCAGTCAAGGATTGGCCTTATCAGATTTTTTAAAAACTTTTTTGAATATTTTTGAATATTTATCCATCCTCAATGGACACAAATTATAACAGTTCCAAGCAATCTCCTTCCTTCATTTAATCATACAGTTATGCATATGCCCTATCTCTTTTTTTGTTAAAGCACTTCAGAGATTAGCTGGAGGCTCCATTTAACTGGAAGTAACTGACAGAATTAAAATCTCTAGCCACACAATCTTATCTGCATCAAGTCAAACTATAAAAAAAATGGTGTAGCCTTTTCTTGGAATTTAATTACCTTGCTTCCCAAGCAATCTGTTTTCCCTTTGTGCACATTTGTCAGTTGGGAATTTTTGAGGACAATAAAAAAGTTTAAAGCAAACTGCTGTGATTTCCATTTCAAAAGTGGCATGTGTGTGTGTTTGTTCAACGTGCATAGTCTGTCACTTACATAGCTCACCTGAAAAGGCAAAATTATGTAGTTGAACAGAAGGGAACTGTACCAAGTCAGTTCTTAAATGGAGCATAGAAAACCAGAAGATTTAGAGCATAAAATAGGGGATACCACCATACAAGACTAATAAAAAAATTGCTGGAGAAAATGCATCTACCCCTAGCTAGAATAAGTGAAATCTCCTGTCACAAGTTTTCAGAGAGCTATTTAAATATGAACTAAACTCTTCAAAATAACAGCTTTGATAAAATAACAGATTTTAAAATTATAGTGTTCCTGCAGAAGCACTTTCCTTATTCAAAAGACTGTATTGATTTCTGAAATGCTGTCATCACTGTTGGATGACTGCCTTAGGCTTTGATTTCACATCCCTAGTCAGTTGTTAGGTGGTTGAAGGTTAGAAGTACACATGTGATACCGAATAGGAGTTGGCATTTTGCATGTCTTCCTCCATTTTTTCACCTTGTTTTATTGTTTATATTTTAGCACTAAAACATGGTGTCTTCTTGGCCTTTCAGACTTTACATAGCTGGATGGTTTCAGTAAATAAACTTCACTTAATTCTGAGAAATCTTTTAGATTCTGAAATCTTTTTCAATTAAGGCGTTTTAGCTCATCTATTAGCCAAAGCACATAATACCATAATAGATACATTTATTTAGTGAAGTGGGGGTACAAGCACTTCAGGCATTTTGGAATTCAACTCCCAGAAGACCCAGACAGCATGGCAAATAGGAAGGGGGTTATTAGAGTTGTAGTCCAAAGCATTTGGAGATTCAAGATTTTTCACTCTGTCTGCTTCCCTCTCCCCCCCCCCCCTTTTCCTGGTTCCTTATAGTTCAGTTGTTCTTTTTAGCTCAGGACCCTTTGACTCAATTTGTTACACTTTTATTTGTAAAAATATGGTGATTTGTAATTGAAATATACACACATACATATTATATTTTGAACTCAATTATTTTATGCCAAATTAAGTTATATGTAATGCATGCATATTTTCCCAGTAATAAAGTGACCTTCAATTTGCAAAGGGTGACAATTTTGCATTAGAGAGAGAGAGAAACACACACATAAATATATTTTAAAACCCTTTCAAAATAACAACAAAAATCATCCCCTTCCCCTTCCCACTCCAGTTTCAACTTTCTGGAAATTTTACATCTCTACTTAGGTAGTTTATCAGCAAGGTTCTCTTGCTACTTTAATCATTCCATTTTGGGGACATCTGGAAGATCCATGGCATTTCATCTGCCCCAGTCTTTCAAATGCTACTGCCTGCTGTTCTCAACTATCTTTAAGGTAACATTATGTTCTGTTACATAGTGAAGGTAGGCAACTGATCTGAGTACAGTGGCTGCTGATAATATATTGCCAGATCACCAAATGAATGTTTTTGAAAACCAGCTTAATGAAATGTTTAAATTGTTGCACTTGGCCATGGGTGACCCAGATTCAAGACCCAACACTGAATGACCTTTGAACAATCAT